TATTTTGACATAATTTTTTATTTCTACTTAATTTAATTCAAATATGATGATTTTATCATAAAGTCCAGAATATCTCCAAATATAGCAGTAATTAAATTCCATTCCTCTTATCCACTTATTTCTAGAACCACTGTAGCAATATCATTTAATGATCTTTGGATATTTGGCACATCTCATTATATATTTCCCATACATAGTTTCAGATTCATTAAGGTAGAGTAACTTCTCCTTAAGTTCTTAGTGAAAAACTAATTTTAAGCAAAATGTGGGAGATATTTGTTCATATGTAAGATTGTTTTATTCCTTTCTAGGATTTAAAGGTTTTCTGGATGCCTCAATTCTCCCTTAAATATGTGTTCTCATAGCAAAAGAGTGATTATTTGTTTTTGCGAGGAAAGAGTGGTGGGACAGAAAAGAAAAGGAAAAAAAAAGAGAATCAGAGCCAGAATATTGAGTGATCTTTTAAAATTATGCTACCTTTAGCATAACTGTAAGGAAAAACAACCCTTTCTAAGTCACTGTTCCAAATTTTACAACCGAGGCTGAAATCATATGGCCTTTCTCTATATTCACACAAAGCCCTTGACTGGATAAACTGTTTGCTGAGAATGAGTGAACTAGAAATCAAGATCTTTGTAATCTCTTAATTTTGTCATTTAAAGTGATGCCTACTTGATAGAATGACATTCTCATTTTCCTCATTTGCTTCATTTTCTTCATTTGCAAAATTGCTTTATGATAGTGGAAGGAAGCTGCATTTGGAGAATATTTATTATGTGCTTTGAGATCATTAAAGCTGATATCACTTTGCATACCGAGTGGTAGTATTCATATCCTTAATATCATAAAGTTGATACAATCAAGAATAACATATCATGATCAATAATTTATACATAATTCCATGATGTAAATGTGACTACAGTAATTACTCCCTTTTTTGAAATCCTGACATAAGCATTGCCACTCACATTGGGCTTAGCATAAGTCATTTTGTATTGTTATTTATCTTTATATGCATATGTCCTATTTATCCAAGCAGATTGTGAGGTCTTGAGGGGTTGGTGTTATGTAGCTTCTAACAATGTGCCTGTACTTAGTGGATGTTTCTTCAGCCCTTGTGGATGATCAGGGAGGTGTTCAGTGATGAACACATCCTCTCCATCCCCCGAAGGCAGAAATATCTGTGGAATTTATTCTGTAGCTGAAAGGTTGGGGAATCAACAAAGGGGAGTGTAATGTCACTTAATATCTCTTGTATGTTTGATAATTTCCCCATGTGTATTTGAGATCAACTGGAAAGCAAGAAGTCAATCATATGTAGCCATGTTTTGCTGATAAGGTATCTATCTGCAGCATAAATTTATCCACTGATCATTATTACATTCATTTGATCATTATACAAGATTAGAAATAGCTGAATTAAAGTGTGTATAATGTTTACTCTGTGTTGCTATGAAGAGTTTTAATTTGATTCTTTGTTATTTTTCCTGTTCTCCACAATAAGTCCATATTATTCTTATAATCAGAAAAAAGGAAGTTTTAAAATGATTTTATTTTTTAAAATGTATGCACATGTAAACAATTATAAAAACAATAAAATAAAATCAAAACAGACTTTATTTCTACTCTAATAGCTGAAACAATCGAAAGTTTTAATTGTATAGTTCAATTCTACATAGTAATTTCTCATTTAAATTAAAATCTAATACAGTAAAATCTCACTGCCACAATGAATACTGAGAAGAATGATACTTAGTTGACAATATTGAAAGGATAATATTTAAAAATATAAACACTACTCTTTAAAAGTCATTTGAAATGTTTTCGATTAGCACAACCATATTCGTTATTAAAATCTAAGAACACAAATATCTTCCTTCTACATCTCTTATCAATAGAATTTGGAGCTTGCCTATACCTGTCTCCATCTTCCGAGGAGTCATAAGGACACACTCCAAAGGTTCTAAGCTCCAGGGAAAATAGTACAAGAAAAAAAAGCCTTCATGAATGTGTCTGGTCCACATGTTGCACAATGGACATGCTTATATAACTTCCTGGCATAAATTTCTTTCCAGAAAGAATTGAGATGGAACCCTTACTCAGAGTGAAAAAGTTTGAGATAAATTTCCCTAGACAAGTACTTAAAGGTATTTACTATTGACAACACTAACACATTTCATTAAAACTGCTTTGATTCCCTGATATATCCCTTCAAAATATGACTTAGAGGAGATGAGGCATTTCGTTAGATATTTGCTTAAAGTTAAACTTCTAAGCACAATGGAGACCAGCAGCTCTTACCTAAACTTGTCATGTTTTCTGTAAGTTGTTCCTTTATCACCATACCCCAGCATCAGTCTCACATAGGCAAAACATGATATATAAAGAGTACATTATCATACCTTAATATTGGATCTTTTAATGCTTGTTATTATTGTACATCACTTCAGATTGGCATCAGGCGTTGTTCAATCCAAAGGTTTAGTCAAAGCTAACATGTTTTACTGATGTCTTTTTTTCCCTAGAGAGTGTTGAAAATTCAGTTGTTCAAAGTGCAAATGTGATTCAGCAAACCACTTATCAGAAATCCTAAAGAGCTAGTGTTTAAAAAAATGTATTGAGAAACTTGAATTAAGTGGACTTGACCAATCAAAAATTTTGAAACTACTTTTCTGTAAGTGACTGGAATGGAGCAGAACAAAGTCAATTACTGACTGTAATTAAGAAGTGGATGCATTTAAACTGTAGAGAGCAGTAGCAGACTTCTCCAGACTGCCTAGTAACTTGAAAAATTAGTGGGAAGACAGAGGGAAGGATGTGAACTGGATGTCTCTGATAGTATGATTCGAAAGAATTGCATTCATGTAGTTCCCTCATCAAGCTTCCCAAAATGAATTTGTAAATCACTGATTATGTATGATTAATGCAGTAATATATTTGGACAAAGAGACTTTTAAAATAACATTGTGCTTTGGATTGTGTTAGCAGTAAAAGATCCCCTTTGCACTGCATGCCCCCAAAATGCAAATACATTATTGAAGTACTTATATTTTATCACTGTTTGAGTTTACTAGGCCAAAAACTGAACTATGCTGGCTCTTTCCTAAAACCTTGGATTACAGTAAATCTAATTATGTTTGTTCCTTGTAGTTTTAAAATGTTGTTCTTTTTTTGTAATTTTAACAATGGTTTATTTTTACTGGAAGAGAAATATTATATTAGGTTATACTTTTTGCCTTGGCTAATTCATTTCTCTTTGTGTTTAGTAACAAATTGTGATATTATATAACATGTTCATAATCAAAATATTTAAATTTCAGATGAAGGTAGAGGTCAAGGGCATTACTAGTTTTTTGTGTTAGACGTGACCTTGTATTTTTAGATTTCTATTTCCGAGGCAACGCTTTAGAAAGTAAATATTTGGGATTTCATGTAACTAAAGAGCATTGCAATGGTGTTCAGATAATTAGCTGCCTTTTACTGGACACAGGGAACATAGGATTATTTTGAGCGGTCCCAAATCTTACATGCAGTTTTATTTAAAAAGAGGGAGAGAGGAGGAGTGATGGACCCCAGTAATCTGTCAAATTCTAATGTGGATAATTAAATCCTATTATTTTCCAATTTTTCATCTCTTATAATTGCATCCATTTTAGACAGTTACTGTCTTTATTGTGATGTGGACCAACTTGATACTGGAAATCATGTCATTTAAGAATAGTTGATTTGTAGTATTGGGTAATGTATCCCTACAGAGTTTTGTGAAATAAATGACAAATGCATCTATATACATATGTGTCACAAAGATTTCTTTAAAAACTCCAAGATCATTGTCATTAAGTGATTTCATAGAATCACTGAAACCCTTACAGTAAGCCTTTTGGGGTAATAATTGTCACTTTGAAGACAGAATGATAAAGATAGTCTGAGACATGATTTGTGATTTTCTGAACCCATACCACATTTAGCATTCACCTCCTATTCAGAGCAAGTAAGTCTGAGAAGAATGACTGGCTTTTGATTTAGTATTTTGAAATGCCAGTCCTCTGAACCTCTGAAGCCTTGCTTGATGTGTGACAGTCGTTGGGAAGTGTTCATTTTCCTCTTGCAACAAGAAGTCAATAACATGAAGAGAAAATCTTCATAGTTTAGATTGATGACCCCATGCAAAAACTGTATCCACACCCACTTTAATCAAATTCTCCTCTAAGCAGCATTGCTCTATTTCTATAGGGTCACATCATTGTCTCACAATTTTGGGGAGAAAAAAGATTCATTGTAATGAAAAAAATATATAGTTACATGCTAAGCATTGCCAACTACTTAACAGCACTGAGATCTGGGAAAGTGGATGTTCATTTGATAAATACTCTCTAGGAGATGTCCAAATATGCAAATGAACTTTTATTCCCGTATACTTCCTTTGTGAAGAAATTGGTCCTTTATTACTTTCCTATAGATCTTTATGATAGGAAAGTAGAACAGCCAAATGTTATTCATCTGACTGACCTTTTGGAAAGTCTGCATTAGTCTCTTTGGTAAATAATCTGTTTTAGAGCCTCCATAAAAGGAAATCAAATACAGAGATACTATTAGATTTGAAAAAGACAAACAGGAAAGAGCCAAAAGTGCAGAATGAATTCTGACACACCCGGGTACATTTTTCTGCGGCTTCTAACTTTAAGTGTGTATTGTCTGTATTACTCTGAATTTCCTGCCTTATTTCTCCTGAAGTTGAAGTAATTCAGCTTTAGCCCTACTCTGAGTTAATCGTTCTATTATTAAAACAATAATGTATTTGTTATGACATGAAAAAAACAGTTTATAGAGAGCAGTTCAAAATGATCCTAGTCTCTCAGTTCCCAGAAAGACAATTACTGGAATATCAGAAAATATTAAAGTGTATTAAAGTGTGTTTTTGGAAAAAGGATTTTTTAAAAATATAATAGATCTATCTCATATGATTTTCTTACCTGTTGGTTTTTTTCTTTTTTTTTCAGATCACAACAGCATCAGGAAATGAGTTTCTTCTACAGTCAGATATTGATTTCATCATATTGGATTGGTTCCATGCTATCAAAAATGCAATTGACAGATTGGTATGTATTTGTTTTGACTGTTACCATTATTAGTTAAAATGTAGTCACTTAAATCTTATTGGTCAGGCATATAACACACATGCAATGTAAATGGATTCTATGAACTGAAAGATAGTAAGTTCTTTGGCGTTCTAGACTAGGAAACTTTCCTACAGACAGATTTGTGTAACAAAATCTCATTTAATTTCTCTCTTTCAAAATCTCAGTGCTTTTTTTTCTAGAATAATGCAGATATTCATTTACTGGAGGTTGTAACAAATACACAAGCACTTAATAACTACTGGATTTTTACAGTTTCAGTTTGTGCATTCTTTAGTACACATTCTTAAAAATAACTATCAGCTTATTTAAGACTACTGTTAATAATACCTACAAATAATCATTCTTTGTACTGATTTTTATTGTTCTTCCAGCTAAGCTAGATTGTTCTTTTCAAGAAAATAACATATCCAGAACTTCAAGAAATTATCTTAAATCACACATAAGAGTATATTTCTAAAAGAGTCAATTTATTTAAAACTACTCATTTTGTACTGACTCTAATTTCAGCTCACTGATATTTGGAAAATCTTGAGAAAAATGTTTCTGAGAGATGTTATTATAATATACAATGAGAAAATGCAACATTTTCAACATTTTCTAGGTGACTTTACTAATATTTAGTTGAAATATTATATCATTTGGGGATCAAACCTTAAAATTTTTTTAAATTCATTTTTCCCAAACATCCATTAATCCCCATATATAGAAAAAAAGGAACACAGATTTTTATCTCCTACTGGGGACCCTGGGACAGCATTTCTGAGTTTGAATACTGATTCTATCATTTACTAGTTTTGTAACCCAGGCAAATTGTTTTTTTCTTTCTTCAGCTTCTTTTTCAGTAATAATATGCTGCTGACCTAATAGAATCCCTATGATGATTAATTAAGTTAATGCATATAGAATGGTTGGAATAATACAGAAGATTTAATAAGCACTGTGTACACTTTTTGAACTATAATTAAATTTAAGTATTGATTTTAGCCTATAAACACTATCCCAAAATCATTGCCTTACTTCAAACATCTGTCTATATCCAATACCAATACAGGACAAAACTATTTGATAAGTCCTTTCTTCCTAATAAAATTATTCAATCTAATCTTTTGTTATTTACAGCCAAAGGATCCAAGTTGCCCATCAAGAAATCTGGAACTATTCAAAATCCAGAGATCCTCCAGTAGTGAATTGCTAAGTCACTATGATAGTGATATAAAAGAACAGAAACCAGAGCACAGAAAATCTTTAAGTGAGTATTTTCTTTGACTTACTCATTCTAACTCTGTCTAAATGCAGTGCTTATGAAATATAAATGCATTGAAATGAGATTTAAGCCAAAGTCATACTACTCATGGAAGATTCGTAGCCATTTCCTGCCCAGGGATTCATGCACTGGAGGGCAGTCTGGGCACTTTGCTCGCATCATTGTTGGTAATGCCTTTTGAGAAAATAATTGTTCTAAGGTCATGGTCTGTGCTTACAGCAAACCTCTGAATCTCTGAGTAATAGCCATGGAGTTCAAATTGGTGATTGATTTTGAGAGTGGGAAATGTCAAGCGTCTCCAAACCTTGGTATGCTGACTGTTTGATTTCCATACATTAAAAGAGATGAGTGACCACCACAGTTGGCTCAATTAAGTCAACAGTCTATGCACTATCCACACTTTTTAGGCCACCAGAAAGATTTAGAAATGTACATTTCAGAGGTTGATAGGAAATGTAAGATGTGAATTAGATGTTTTCCAAGGTCACATATAGTTTTAATATTCTAAAACAACCAAATTTGTAGCAAAAATAATGATCACTATTTACATAATGATCTTCAGCATCTTTTTAAATCTTTTCCCAGATGCTTCTTCTTCAATAAATGGAAGTTATTATTTTTTTTATTATTCATATGTGCATACAAGGCTTGGGTCATTTCTCCCCCTGCCCCCACCCCCTCCCTTACCACCCATTCTGCCCCCTCCCTCTCCCCCCTACTCCCTCAATACCCAGCAGAAACTATTTTGTCCTTATTTCTAATTTTGTTGTAGAGAGAGTATAAGCCATAATAGGAAGGAACAAGGGTTTTTGCTAGTTGAGATAAGGACAGCTATACAGGGAGTTGACTCACATTAATTTCCTGTGCGTGTGTGTTAACTTCTAGGTTAATTCTTTTTGATCTCACCTTTTCTCTAGTTCCTGGTCCCCTTTTCCTATTGGCCTCAGTTGCTTTTAAGGTATCTGCTTTAGCTTCTCTCCATTAAGGGCAACAAATGCTAATTTTTTAGGTGTCTTACCTATCCTCACCCCTCCCTTGTGTGCTCTCGCTTTTATCATGTGCTCAAAGTTCAATCCCCTTGTTGTGTTTGCCCTTGATCTAATGTCCACATATGAGGGAGAACATACGATTTTTGGTCTTTTGGGCCAGGCTAACCTCACTCAGAATGATGTTCTCCAATTCCATCCAAGTAAATGGGAGTTATTAAAACATGTTACCTGTATCTCATAGAGTTGGTTTGAGTCTCTATCTTCTGTAAGAACAAGTAGATGTCTTTGAAATCAGAGAAAACCAATTTCCAAAGCCTTAAAAATTATACCATCTTTCTTGGATCTTCTACCTAGCTCTTTTCAGTCATTTTCCTGTGACCAAAGATTGTTATAGTTACACCTCAGCTTTTTGACCTTAAGGATAAGTTAGTAAATTGAGAAAGGCTGCTAAATGAGTACAAATCCATGTACACATATGCTAGATGATTATATAAGTACATATACAAATATCTGTTCATGCATACAAATACACATAAATGACAAGGAAGAAGGAACAAATTACATGAGAACTTAAAGTGGATGCAACCTTTTGAAATTAAGTCATTATTCAAGAACTCACTCCATAACTTTCAAAAACTGCCAGAAACATATTTAGTTAGCTAGATGTGCTATGTTGGGACTTCAGATTATCGGGGTGTAGAAAATGCTTGGTGTGTTTGTGAAGACTTCACAAGGCTATTTATAAAGATATTTTTTCAATGTGATGATACAATTTAGAGCTGTTTCATTTAAAGAACACTTCCCTTTAATTTCTGGCTATTGTGTTCCTTTACCTTACATGGGACCAGACGTAAGGTTAGATATCAGAAATAGAATTCAATTGTGAGTGTATATTTAATGTTAATTATATAAATATTTTGTATTTAAGATAAAGGGATATGTGATATAGTGATTAGTGAATCTCGAATCCCAGAAATAATTGCTGGTTTGGAGGGGGCATTGACATGCTTCTAAAGACTGGAACTATGAAGAAAAGAAAGGTTTGCAAAACATTTCTGAGAAACATTCAGCTATATTGAGAAGTAGTCACTTTCAAAGTGTTAGGATATTGCTAAGAAAAAAATTCTAGGGCTAGAACATCTCCCATTCTCTTTAGAATTTATTTCTCATTGGAAAGGCAGTTATTTGTTTACTTTGAGCTTTAAATCAAGGACAAGGGAAGAGACATATGATTTGTTCTGTTCACTTCAAATTGTAGCTAATTGCACATGACTTCATATTCACTCTTTACTTTGAAGTTAAACAACTAGTGGTGACCAGAAAACATTGTGCACTGACTGTATACCAGATGTTCTCCTAAGTTCTTGTCTTACATTGATTCACTTAATATTCCCATGGACCCTACAAAATTCGTACTATTATTAACCCTTTTTTTACATGAAGAAATGGAAGCATGAAAAATTAAGATTAACATGTATAAACATGAGTTATGGAGATATGTTTCAAACCCAAGCAATCTGCTTTATTGTCTGTGCTTTTAATCATTACACTATAGTGAAGTGGACAAATAAAAGATACACAGGCTATTTCAAACTTGAATTTGGATATATTAAAAATTAAAAGTAAGGGCTGGGTGCAGTGGTGCATGTCTGTAACTTCAGCTATTCTGGAGGTAGAGATCAGGAAGATAGTCATTCAAGGCCTGTCCTGGCAAAAAGTTGGCAAGACCCCATCTTAATCAAGAAGCTGGGTGTGATAGTGAGAGCCTGTGATCCCAGCCATGTGGGAGGCCACTGGTAGAAGAGTCAGGGTCTAAGACCAGTCTGAACAAAAACTCAAGATCTGCCCTGAAAAAATAACTAAAGCATAAAAGAGCTGGGGTAGCTTAAGTGGTAGAATACCTACCTCATAAGTGCAAACCTTGAGTTCAAGTTCCAATAGTGCCAAAAAAATTCAAAATAATGTTCATGTACATCAGTGAACTTAAATCAAGACCCAAAAGCTTAGTGGCAAAAGAATTAAGACCAGAAGTTCTCCTGGGACTAATTTTACAATTAAAATAAAAGAGTCATTTAATCTTTAATGCTAACCCTACTTTTAGGAAAGACTTCTATTTGTCAGTTATGTATAGTTAAAAAGCTTCTTTAGAGCTAGTATGGGTTTTGCAAAGTAAGACACAATCAATATCCATGTATTACTTTGAATCAAAGTCAATTAGTATGCATGCATTCATTTTCATGTGAAAGGCAAAATGACTGAGCCACCCACACAATATCAAATAAAACTGTGTGTTTAAGATAATCATTGAAATATATATATGTATATATGTATGTATGTATACATACATATATATGTGTATACATATATATATATATATAAAATGTTTTTAAAAATATTTTTTCAAATAAGAAATACCCTGTGTGAAACCCCTCTAAGCTTGGTCCTAGATTTGAACACCCAAACTTAGTTCTCTTAACATGTGTATTCAGTTTTGTGTCATCCTCTGGAGATTAAGTGACTATGTGGAATCAGAGATTCACAGTATCCTCTTCCTTATTAGTAGTCTAAGCACAAACATTACTGTCAGTTTGCTGCCTTTGACTTCCTGTGCCCTTGATGTTCCCACGAGTTTTGTCGCCAAGATTGTAGGCAGATAAAGTCAGAATTACTTTTTAAAAGGCATGTGAACATCATTACCAGCTAACAGGTGGTCATTTCTTTGTCCAGTTTGTCTGTTTAACATGGGAAAAATATGTTTTCTCAATGAGTGGATTCAGAAAGTTGTGTTAAAATATACTTTCCTTTTTAAAATGTGATTCTAACCTGCCAACACTATTAAGTACTAATCTGATATTTTAGGATATCAGTTGAGTCTAACAGACAAGAAGCCAGAAAATTCAATGTAAGGGCCAAATCACTGTGGGAAATTCAGGACAGCAGCCTGGGATAAATGCAGGAGAGCAGCTCTCCAGGGAGGGCTGCTATGGAAAGTAGAGAGTCAGTCAAAGATGTGCAAACATATTTCTCCAAGGAAAGTGATGGAAAAGAAGAAAGGCCAAAATACAAAGCTTGCATCAGATAACTTTGGAGAAGTTGTTTTTTAACTTTTCTGAGCTTTGCTTTCTAGATCTATTTTAAAAAGGGGGGGAGGCGGGGTCTGATAACATTCCTACAGGGTTGTGTGAAAATTTGAAATTAGAGATGTAGGTACTTAGCTCACAGCAGGCACTCAATAAATAGGAACTCTTTTTATTATCCTCTGAATCCCCAAGCAGATGGCACCAAAAAGGGCTAGAGCCAAGGGTAGTGTCTGATGAAAGGCTAGAGCAGGGCATATATATTTAACATCTTGCTCCCTGAGTCTACAGAAAATAGGGGAAAAGATGCCAGAATTGGATATTGGAGTCATAGCTGCAAAAGACAAAATATGAGCAGCTGGTCTTTCCCCTGACTCCTTCCCAGGTGAAAATGTTGAAAGTAGCACATCAGGACATAGTAGAAAGGGGGGCAAGAGGTATTCTTGATTCTTTAAGGTCCAGAAGAGGAACAATGCCATTAAGAAGCTGTAGTTGATGGATAGGATTCAACATCTAGCAATTTCGATATTTGTTTACACAAAGCTCTAGTTTATCAACTATTCCATGCATTCATTGTTTTTCATTAACAAATACAACCTGAAGGTACACAACTAAAATTTTTAACTTCACTTATTTATACTTTCAATTTTTAAAAATTTATTTTAAAAATTTATTAAGGTGATACTTCAATAGTAATGTATCTAATCCCCATCAAATTGCTAAACCATAAAATCAATGAGTGTGAAGACCTTGAGTAAATTTTATATAAAGTTGACACATTTAGTATTATAAATAAGCACCCCCAAAATGAACATGAATTCGAAGAATGGGGGAAAAAAAAGAAAAACTAAGAAGAAATGGAATTTCTTCAGCTGTTTTTTTGTTGATTAACTTATATAAAATATGTATTTTGGGTCAA